CAAGAAAATTGAAGATTAAGTCACAAGGAAGTCAGCTATCCAGCCATTATGCAAAACTTTCTAAAAGGCAGTGACATACATTCAGCAACCATCCCAAAATCAGAACATCAAAAGAAAACATTTTTGCACTAGTTTGCCTTGTTATTGCCAGTCTATGTCCCTGTGAAGGGAATAGTGTTTATGGGACCAGTGTTTGGAAAAGTAAGCTTTAATAGCAGTGTCAAAGGGTAATTGGCACAAAAGAGATCCCTACATTTGGAACAAGAGGAATTAAGTTTTCCTAAGCACACTGGGACCACAGAGGGCTTGTTGTTGATAGACCCACAAGTAGTAATATTACCAGGTTCATGCCAAGGGTCATAGCATGCAGTGAGACAACAGTTCCTTAGAGCAATGAGAGCAGGGTCATGACTCCTGTGTGCAACTGATTGATCTTCAGAGTTCAGATCTGTGAGACGTACGGGGGAAAAAAATGTGCAATTTACAGCATTCATTTACACTTGGTTTTGAAAGGCTTTTATTGAGGCAATGATCCCCTTGCATTTTTGCTTTTCAGTTACTGCCTTAAAGTCACTGGAAGGATTTGAAACAATACATGACCATGGGATTTTATCAGCAGCATATATTAATGCACTTGTTACATGCCAGGTAAAGTTTTGCAGCTCTTAGTAGCTTTTCTTCTCAAGGGCTCATATCTGAGGAGACTGGCCTCTAATTTACATTTAGCAGAACAGAAGCTTGAAGCCTTGAGAAATGACAGTGAAACTGTGCAACCACCCCAGGGACTCAATTCTTAGTTTATGTTCTTTACGACCACAAGTAGAAAAGTGCATCAAAGTCACATTTCTACTTTATTGATCTTGAACCTCAACTTTTAGAATGGACTTGAAGAATATTTAGGACAACCTAAGCACAAATGAGGTTTAGGGTGTTATAAGTTGTTGCTGCACCTGACCGTTCAGTCTGGCCAGCTCTGGCCACAGCAACAAGAGTGGGCTGCCCCCAGAAAGCAAGGCAGATTGGGGGCAGCTTGCTCAGGAGCCGTGGGCTAGGGCACAATGCTCTACGGTGTGCAGAGATAGGCCAAGGACCAGAGTAAAACAAACAGAGAGGTCTTTGGTATGAAGTTCAGAGGGGTTATTCTCCAAAGGAGTCAGGGACCAAAAGACAAAAGATCCAGGGCTACAGCAACCTATATACATGGGACGAGCAAGAAGGGGGTACAAATCATCAAATCATCAACCGATAGTGAGCCCAATAGGGAGGAACAAGGGGAGAGGGTTACAACACAGGGACCAACCGGGGTGAGGGGGGTGGAGAGGATCAGTCATATAGGCCAAAGGGGCTTCGAAGGTTAGGAGATGAACAGGGAAGGGTCTAGAACAAAAGGCAGGGTTTACAATGATGGGCAACCAGAAACCTGGGATGATTGGAAGAAGGGGGGATTGACATGGATCCTTCTGGAAATTAGGGAAGGACTTTGGGGTGAGTGACATAGGATAAGGTGGGGAGAACTTAGGACGAAACCACTCCATTTCAGGGGGGAAACATATTTGGGGCAATCATTGGCATAAACAAACAATTAACAATAAAATGCATCACCACACTAAGTTCTGCATCTGGTATAGAATACTGGAGTGCCCTGCACTGCTCTTGTAACCCTGACCCTCAGCACAAACTGCCTCCTTTCCTTGGTAGGTGCCTTGCCTCCTCCTGCCTGTTTGTCACCTGAGAGAGTCTTGTTATCAAAGGCATACTCAGTTGCCTCTTTAATGGGTCATTTATATTTCTGATGGCAGTAGAAAATAGTAGGAGTCAAGGTTTAAGTGGGAGCCATAGCTCCAACACACAACATTAAATAATCCTGCTGGATTCTGCTGCAAAGCTCAGTAGAAGTCATTCTGGATCTTGTGAGAGTTTTCAGTCACTTCAAACTGTTCTGTGTAATGTCCCAGGTACATCCCCTTAGATTCCTGACCAGGATTATACAATAAGAAATTTAGTAAATTTTGAATGAGCCCAGAGACAGGGCCTTGGGAGTTTGGCCAGTGCTAAATGAATACAGAAATCAATAAAGCTTATAGCTACATACTTTCCTACCGAGCCTCAGTGCTTGGATTCAAGAACTGCACACTGACTGGATTGCTATGATCAATACTGGTAGAGGATATAATGCAAGACTATTAGTGCAACTGGTCCCATTGAACTCAACAGAAATTCTGCCATTTTCTTCATTCAACCTAGGATCTCACCTAATGTGCCTTTTCCAGCTTTAACATCTGTGATCCTGAGCACATTACTAAACTGCCAATGGGATCTGCCAACCATTACAATCTGTGATTTGTCAAGTACTCTATTTGTATTCACTACATCTCTGTCGTCTACAGGATTCCAGTAATAACCTATTAAAGACATTTAATGTTACCAATTTAAAACTGAAAAACACAAACTACTGAGGTGGTGAAGTTGCCAGAAGAGACATCAGGGCCTGTGTTAGAATATCTGATTCAGAAACTCCTATATGTGCAAAGCCTCCAGATTGTATAATTATAGTTCCATCAGTGAGTAGTGTATTTATTAGACCCAAATTTGGTTATCAGAAATGTTAACAGAGAAATTGCCATGGTAAAAAGGGCTGGCTAATGTGGACAAATAAGGATGGATTATTAAAGCTCAGTTTTTGTGGGAGGTGCACTCATTTTCAATGTAGCTTCCCAATAGATACTGTCCTGAGAAATATGGTCCAGTAATATACACAGCAATTAAGGAGGACTCTGTTATACCTGCTATTTAGCAAGGCTCAAAATCACAGCTCAGCACTCAATCAAATAGAAATATTGTTTTCTTATAGTATCACAGAAGCAAGCCTTGACAAAAAATGAGGATATCAAATGCCTCTTATCCTTGCTAAGCTGTGTTAATGGTGGAAAAAATACAGATAGCTACATGCTTAGTCTAGTTTGGAATCAATTTGTACACACACAGAGAAATAAGATACAGATGTTTAAAAAGTTATGACAAATGAGAAAACAGCCACACACTAAAAGTGGTTGCAATAAATTGCCTTTCAGTTACAGGTCTGTGGTGCAACAGTTGACATATACTGAGTGAAAGTTAAGGAAAGGGTGATAGTCCCACTCAACTCATAAGGGAACATGCAGCAAATAATTGTTAAACAATGGTGTTGCAAGAATCCTAGATAGACAAGTATTCAAAAGCCAAGGAAATGATCAGTCCTGTAAGTCAAAAGGCAGAAGTAGGCAAAGCAATGAAAAATTTCTGAAAATTTGAAACCAGTAGTGAAGCTTATTATCATTTACAGTTCTTACAGATTTGCACTCCTTCCACTGCTCCTTGAAAGACTTACTCTGTACCCTTCACTAGCTTCATTGCCTTTCTGGTGAAGGGTGTAGAGAGTAAGACCTATAAGGCGCAGCTGAGGGAGCTGAGTTGTTTAACCTGCAGAAAAGGAGGCTCAGGGGGAATGTTATCACTCTCTACGACTACTTGGAGATTGTAGCATGATGGGAGTCAGTCTCCTCTCCCAGGCAACCAGTGACAGGATGAGAGATAGGCTCTAACTGTGCCAGAAATTCAGGCTGGACATCAGGAAGAAGTTCTTCATGAAAATGTTTGTCAAGCATTGGAACAGACTACTCAGGGAAGTGGTAGACATACAGAACATCCCTGTAAGTGTTCAAGAAATGACTGTACATGGCACATAATGCTGGAAATATGGTGATCAGTCAAAGGTTGGACTTGGTGGTCTTGGAGGTCTTTTCCAACCTTAATGGTTCTGGGACTCTGTAATATTCAGGAAGCTCCATTGAGTGTTTGGCTCAGCCTACGTGGCAATTCCAGCAAAAGATTTCTATTTGGTTTTCAGTGTCTCTCATTGTCAGCTGAGATCAAGCAGCCCTGCACATATAATATAATTGCTCATGAACAGTTCTGACAATAAATTTGTTTTTCCTTTTTATTTTTTGGTTAATTTTTATTTTTTAATTTAAGTTGTAAGTCTAAGTCAAGCATTGCTTTGTGTCACATTTAGTGCCTAGTGTGATTCAAAATGTTCATCTACTTTGGGAGCTTTTCTTGCCTATCTTTTCCTCTTTTTTTTAAATTAAAGTACATTTTTAGAGAAAAGCATCCACTTAAGCAATATTGAGACACTTTAATTTGGGCAGGGATCAGATAACTCCAGTGGTATCGTCAGTCTATTATTCTGCAATTCAAAATGTCAAAAAAATCTTTCAAAAGTCATTCAAACTGATTATTTGAATTGATAGAAATACATCCTTTTTTTCCTGTTTAACTAAACCTATACTTTTCAGGATGAAATTTGACTAAAAATTTTCATCCAGATCTAACTTTTTCTTTGAATATATTCATAGAACTATACTTTTTATTTTACCACTTCAGAAAATAACCTGTTTGCAAGTCAATTTATCAAAATTACCCTTCCAGTGCATAAAATAATAATGTATTTCAGATAGTGCGCTTGCATCATTTTAAAAGCAGAAGAATTAGGAAGAAGAGAAAAGAGAAAAAAGACAAAAATATATTTTAGAGCTTTTAAAAATCTTTAGAACAATATTCTTCTGTATGGGTCTGTTTTCATCACTAAAATAATCTTTTTTTTTTTTCTATGGACTTAGAAGTTCAAATAAATTTCAAGAGTAGTTTATGTCACATTGTGTAACCACATAAAGCTTGTTCAACAAAGTGCAAAGGACATCCAAAAACTTCTAAACCAATAATATATTACTATTAAACATTTTAAAATTATTTATGCTCTTCAAAAATATAAATAAAAACCTAGCTATATTTAATGTATCTTACCTCTTAATAGAGCTTTCACCGATTTTACTGATACCTTCTCAGAAGTCAGAAAATATTCTCTTACCTAAAGTGTTGTCATGTTTCATTTGAAAAAAACAGATAAATTTGGAATATTTTGTGAGTCAAAAAAGCCTGCACAGATTGTTCTGTTTATTTAATTATTTAATGTTTGGACAGTGCTTTGCAAGCATAATACACACTTATTTTTAGTATTACTTGTGCATACAGCATTATCAGCAAGATATGAATAAAACGCTCTCAGCTTTGCAAGCAATTTTCTTGATTAATTTCTTTGTATAAAGCAGCAGAGGGAGCTCATACATTATTTTTGGTGTGTCACACACAAAAAAATGATAAATTACATGTGCACACACATGTGCACGCACGCGTGTGCAGGTGACACGGCCCCGCGCACACATGTGCACATGCAGTCAGCTCTGGGACGAGCTGCACAGCTACAGTGGCTGTGCCTGCACTTGTCACGCAGACCAATAGGAGCAGATGTGTTCAGCGAAAGAGCTGGGAGTGAGCCCCGCGTGGCCATGGCACACATCCTTCAGGACGCTCTTTTTGGAATAGTGCTTCCTGGTTCCATCAAGCTGAGACACCCATGTGTGCCTTGGGCATGTTCAGTGAGCTCCTAGAGTGCCTTTTCCAGATGGATTTTACCCAAGAGGAAGCCAGCTGGTGTGTTCTGACCTTGATCCTGGACGCAAACCAAAGCTCAGCTGGTGGGGGTGATCCAGAGGCACCATCAACAGCACGCACTTGATCCAGAGACAGTCACCAGAGCTGTGTTAGAAACTTCTAGGTACCTGCCGGAGCTCATCTTCAGGTGTGTAAGAAATCAGATGGATGACATCAATTCAGGCAATTGCATTCTGATGGAGTGACATGTTAGGTGCCTACATGCCTTTTTGAATTTTCTCTTCAATGTCTACAATTTTTTGCAGGAAATGTTTCATGCTGGATGTACACTGAGAAAGAAGTGCTGAAGTCACTTAAAGGACTGGACAAACTTCCTAAACATCTTGCTTTTGTCTGATTGAATGAGTTCTTGGGAATATATGCCCTCAACTGGCCCCCTGAAATCTGTGAATCTGAAGTATAAGGAGGGCTTAACCTAGTTACTGAGCAGACCTTAGCACTCCTTGAACAGCAGAAGTATAAATGCTATTTCCTTTAACGATATGTAGAGTATATCTTGTTCTATATGCTGGGCCAGCCAGCACTTTAGGAGCATAATTTGACTTCCCTAGGCACTCCTGTGGAAGTCTCGGAGGAAGCAGTGGGCAGTGGATAATGCAGGGATTGTGCTTTGGTAGAGGCCAAAGCTGGAAGGAAGAAGTTGGTGCACTGGATGATCCCATATCCTACTATATACAGATGAGCACCATTGAGGCCAAAGACTGAACACAATGGGAAAACTTGTCTGCCAATACCTTTTATTTCCAGGATGGGCAGAGGTACTGGGAACCCTGCACTATGGCTTGCTGGTTTTACTTCCAGACTTGGAGAGGCAGATACAAAGATGGCAACAATGGGACTGAAAAAAACAGGAAAAAAACAGGTTAGAAAATGAATGAAGTGTGGGGACAGGTGGGAGTTGGGGGATGGGGCACAAGATGGGAAAAGCAGACAAAAATGGCACAAATACTGTGTGATTTTAAAAAACTTATCCTTTTGGGGTGGGACTTAAGGCAAAAGGAATAGATTTGGGCAGAATTACTTGTCATATCTAAACCAGCTGGCCAAACTTGTAATAAAAAGCCCATAAACCATCACTGTGAGAGAGGAAAAGCCACATTGTTTTTATTTGTCTGTAGAGCAATATGTGTCACTGTATAAATAGTAACTAATAACATGTGCTGCAGCACTTCTGTGGTATTTTTCAATAATTACTGTTGTTGTAAAGGAGTTTAGTATGAAGTAAAATATCTCTATGAGAGAAAAAATTGCTACCTCTTTCCCCCTGATATTTGTGTAACTGAATTAAAAATACACAGATACATCGAGTCAAAAAAACATTATTCCTAGTTCAAGGAACTCAAGCTGAACACCTTGGAAAATCTCTCAGCTACATTGTTCTCTCATATGTTATAAGGATTTTTTTTTCCTTTTAACAATAGTAAATCGTCAAATGAAAGAGGCTTATATTGCACATACCATTGTGAGACGTGCTCATGATGTAACGTCAGAACGAACTATTTTTTAACCTAATATACAATAATTTAGCAGCATTAGAAGAACATAAAACAGATAAAAGTATAGCTTTTACAGCCATTCATCAATGGCCTTTTTTGAAGAGTGCAGATACCTCCTCAGGCTAAGCATACATCTTTCTATTTCACATAAATACACAAAGTGACAGGGCTTCCAGTCAAAATAAACATTTGCTCAGTGTATACCTGATTTCCACCCATTTCATTCAACAGGAAAGATACTGAGGTTAACAAACACACTAATCTCTCAACTGCTCTAGGGATGAGGATGTGCTGTATCCAACAACTTGTGATTGAGTGTGTTCGCAGTTTGCTGCTCCCATGGATGTCCGTGCCTTTGTACTGGTACTATTTAAAAGGCAAACAACAGAACAAGGCTTTATGTGGATCCAACCAAAATTATTTTCAGTTTTTAGAAAATAAGAATGATTCAAGGGAGAGGGGACAATGTGTCAGGTTTGGTAACTGCACAGGTAGTGAGGAGAATGGCTGAAGAAAGCATCATTTCAATGAAAATGCAATACAAGGTGATATAACAATATCATTGCTCATTAAAAAAAAAAAACACAAAACAAAGAATAAGAGAATGAAACAAAAAAAAATATATATAATATTGAACAGCACAAACCACCTACAATTCAGGGTAAAAACTTCCAAGAGTCTGAGGCACCCAAATGTCACTAAATCTGAGGAATTCTCAGGTACCAAGAACAGAAAGTAAAGTTTTGCATTTGTAGCTCTGGCTGCTCTTTAAACCCTTTGTGGAAGGAAAGATGACCCTGCTGCCTTGTCCTTTCTCTCCAGCAGTTGGAAGGAGAACAAGGAGATCCAGCTGAAGGAGAACAGGAGCTGAACACAGGTTTCCTACCTCTGGGGCAGGGCTCATTGGGCATCATTGCACCACTACCATCAGGGCTGGGTCCCTTGTCAAGCAGAGAACAAAAGGATGTAGTAGGTGCCCTCTGAGTCCTATACCTGGCTTGCTACACCTGTATTGTGATGCTTTGTCAGGTAAAATACATAATTTGGACATATTGTTTGATGATCTCACACTAGGATTTCACACCACACTATAGAAGAAAATGTTGATTGAGTTATTTTTAACAGTCATGATATTAGTTAAACCTGATTAACAGATTATTTTCCACTGACATCACTTCTTTATTCTATTTACAAGCTAAATAAGCCAGACACTCAATTGATAAATGCTCATTTCCCTCCATCTTAATTAACCAAATATTCTTTTACTTAAACAATCCCTCATTTTTCCATAGACACAGTAATAGATCCATTAGAAGGGTCTATCTAATACCAGGGATCTTTTATTTATGAGTACAAGTCCAAATGGTTACTATTTTTTAATGTTTTTATTTTCCTTGATACTGTACACCGTGTAATGGCTTTGGTCCAAACAGTAATCACACGATGGGTGCTGTTTCTTCTTTCTTGACCTATCACACTCCACATGATTTAATCCATTGTTTTGGATGTTGCCAATGATTTATTGTATGAAAAATGTAAATGATCTGGATGGCAGATGTTTTATATTTTCTGACCATTCATTTTCAGTGGGAATGTAATTAAAATTTATGAAGTGTATCTGCTGAATTGCATTGGCAATTGATGATCTCCTCCAGTGCTGTCTGTCTGGAGATGATGAGTGATTGTGGACAGTGAGATGTGTTGACAAGGGCAGAAACAGACGTGATGTTACTGTCATGAGTGAGGCTACCTGCAAAAAGGCTGCCGGTTTTTTTCTCCCTTTTTTCCCACAGGAAGAAGGTGGCAACCAGAGCTGTCTTTCTTCTTGCAAGACAGAGTACAAAGCCTCTGAACACTCCTGAAAGCTGTCACTCTTCACAAGTGCAATCTCTGTCTCTCCTAGCAATGGGCATCTGGAAGCCATGATACCAGTTACAACAACCCATGTCAAGGATATTAATTAAATTCCTGATGGCCACCCAGAGAAGCTAATGAGTGTAAATTTCACAACATCCCAACTCATAAGGCAGCCCACTTAACCTTTTCAGCGTTGATATCGTTCCTCCAGGAGGGAAGAAAAGAAGTGAGCTGTTTGCTGAGGGATCATGTAAAGGAGAAACAGGGAAAGGGGGAGATGCTTGGTCTGGCACAGTTTAAAATACAAACAGATCAGAACTAGATCTGCTGGATTCAGATATCCCACAACAGAATGGAAAGGGTTTTTTTTTCAGAACTGAGATCCTAGATAGCATTTTGCACAGAGCCCTTATTGCTATGAATCTGAGTGGATCTCCTCGCCTCAGCTCCTTCCAGCTCCATGAGCAAGAGAAGCAGCTCTTTTTTTAACCCCAGTGAGGTATACTTACTGGACTTTGAATTTCCTCTGCTCTTGACATCGCACACCTCTTACATTTCTGAGTGCTATGGAGGACAGAATATGTAATTACTATCATCCCACCATACAGTTACCTCTACAGTAAATGTACAGACAGCCTAGATTAACAGGTAGTGAATCATGTAAGTGCTGTGGGACCAACAACTGGAACTGGGGAATTTCTGACACCCATCTTTATCATCAGGGATTTTGATCACTTGAATGTTCAAAGTGTTTTCTTAATTCACAAACCTCATTTAGGATATCTAACATTAGGCACTAATAAAGATGCCTTCACTCTAAAGTCATGTGGCCACCTCATTACCAGAGGCTGGTAAATGAGCATTTTATTCCAAAAGCAAACCCCAAAGGTAGTTTGTCACGAATGCCCCAGTCCCGCTGCTGTTGCTGACACCACTTCCAATATATTCTGCCACTATGGGTGGGGTCCAAATGAAAGTGATTGTAGCTGTCAGTTCTTGAGCTCTGCTTGTGCTGAAGTCAGTAGGCATTTTGCCATTCATTTCAAAAGTAAGCATTACAAGCTCAAGAACTAATCCAAGCTTCAGGCCTGGTAGTGATTGTGACATTTGACAATGTATGATTCAAAACAGAAAAGGGATTGAAATGGCAGGTGCAGCAGATGGTCAAGATCCTATTACACAAAGACCTTTTTTTCCTTCCATGTGTGCTCCTAGCTCTGCTGCTTCAGTGTGTTTCTGGCATGTGACGTGCAACTGTTGCAGGAAAGGAGAAGGAATGAGGTAGGACTAGGGTCACAAAGTCTAGTTAGGCAGATTTTGGAAAATCCCAAGGGGATACTCTCAGCACAACTCATGCTACAAAATGCTTAGTAAACACTGCAGAACTCTGGGAGTCAACAAGGTTAAACTCTTCTTTTGGCTCCACTGCTGTCTTGTTGAGTGCCTCAGTTTACCTATCTGCACTTTTAGGTAACATGCCTTACCTGGCTTTTTATGCCAAACTTCATTCATTAATACTGATGTCAAAGAGGACATTCAGCACCTCACAGGAGGCCCAGTGCACCTGCATTAGTTAGCCATAAATCATGGGAAACAACACTTTGAAGTGTCAGGGAGATTTAATGTGGGATACAGAACAGAAGGGGAATGTGATGAACTGAGCTCCAAGCCCCAAATAAGGAATTTAAAATGCACCTTACCCTTAAAAGTGTCAGCAAATGAAGAAAAAGAAGAGTGGGGAAGCCCCAAAGGCAGCAATTTTGAATGCTTTAGTTTCCTCTATTGACTTTAATTAAGCTCACCCAGGATTGCAGGCCTGTCACTTGGGGAACCTTTCCATAAAGAAAAAAGGAGTTTGCTCCCCAGGTGGGTTTTCCCAAGTTTCTCAGGCTCTTACCACAATATATGCCTGGCATCCATGACAGGGTCGTCAAAAATAATAGCTAAGGAATTCACTGTCTGTCATTCCAAAATAATTATGTATGGGGCTTTACTTGCACTTGAGATGGGTTATATATTTCATTGAGAAAACCCATGTGGACTAAAGCATTTATTTATATGTATGCATGTAATATATGAAGGGTGAAGAGATTAACAGTCAAATAAAGAATATGGGGGAGCAGAACTCTATATACATGCATGTGAAACATGTTGAGAAAGAGAGTGGAAAGCACTGTCAGTCAAAAACTTGTTAATTACAAAGTGCATTAATGCTTTATTAGCCATTTATCAGTAATTAATCACCTATTCTGATGTAAATTTCAAGCTTAAAAATGCGCCATGAAAATTGTCCCTTAAATATAAGCCAAGTTTTAAGGGTCAGCAGAACCACAGGAAAGATAGCAGCATATTCCCCTCAGCTGCCTGGAAGACTCTTTTAGTGTCTCAGCTTCATGCCTGTGTCTAGGCAAGCAATAGTTTTTGGGTGCTTTCAAAGTCAAAATAGAGTGGGGAAAAAAAATGAAGAGAGCTCGCAAGCAGAAGGGGAGGAGGTGGTATACTCAGTGGTATTCTTCAGGTGCACAGTTTGAATAAAAATGCAAAACAGGATGCTCCCATTCAGTAAATATTATCATTTTTATTCACTCATTAATTAAGTTGCTTAATTGCTGCTGTCAAAAGACTCTTGAGTTTGTGACTGGGGTTGTTGCACTGTTTTGATAGTAGCTGAGGAAAGAAAAAGGCAGTATCACTCGGCTTGTTCTTTACTTGATAATAAGGAGGCACTGGTGGTAGGAGATCATAACAAAGCTGCAGAGTTGCATAGGGAAAAAGATACATATTTACACAAAAAAAGGAAGGGGATAGGTTGGTTTTATTTAATGCATCAAATATTTTTTCACCAATGTGATTGATGCAGTGTTACTTGTGCATTATTGTTCAATTTGTTCTCCATGAAAATAATTTTAATAACAAAGTATTTCCCATATTTTAGTCTAACTTCCCAAGAGGGCCCAGAAATGGAAAGGGATTCAAGCTGTGTTGGTCAACACAATTATAGATATTTTTTTCCAGATCTGTCTCCAAAAGATTAATGTTAGCTGGTTTAGGTACTGTCTCTTCCAGGACACCAGATTGACAAATGACCAACACTTACGGTATATTATTCATACATTTCTGAGACAGTACCTATTCATGCCAGGATGATGATCAGTTCCACATCACTCAAGACATTCTTAGAATTGATGCCCACTTTACTGCAGACATCTCACATCTCAGCATCACACTGATGAAATGCTGTGGTCATGACACATGAAGGTGTCTTTGCAAATGAAAAGGAGACTGATCTGGATGACATGGGCCAGGACCACCAATAACCATTGATTCTTATTACTAAACAGACTAAATGGAAGACAGCTTTCAAAACAGATTGTTGATGATGGGCTCTGGTACAACCTTAGGTCTTTACATATGTGTCTATACCTGTACGGAGGTCTGGAGATGTAGCAGGTTATGCTTGTCTCAGGTTGGCTCATGAGGCACAGAAGGAAAAACTGTTGTACACAGACAACTACGCAAAAATTGCTGATCAGAGAGAGAATAGTGCTAGGATGATGGATGTGGTATACAACCATCAATTTTACCTTATGGCTAAGAAAGAAAGGTGTGCCTTATTCCTCAGTTCTAAAGTCAAGCCTGCAGTTAGATCTGTATGTCTATTCTCTGTTCCCTCTTTTTTAATCCTCTGTAATGAAGCAAGCGATCACCTAAAGGACTTACTTCTGCTCAAGAGGGAGAACTTTGCTTAGTGATGAAACTCCTTTACCCAGGAACAAATGGGTGTGGCCTGCTCTATGCGCCATGCAGGGACCGCCATGACAGGGTCTTTGTGTTTTTAGGTGTCTCACACTGCCTATACTGCTGGCTGGGATAAATTTCAGAAGCAGGTTATGAAGGTCTTCAAAACTCTTTGATATATCAAGTTTTTGGCAAGACTTTCTATACATACCAATCTGCCCAGATACACTCATTAAAGTCTCCCTTCCTTCTGTTAGTAAGATACTACAGTTTGCACTGAACTGTGCAATGAGTTTAGGAATGGATGCAAAGGCTCTTAAGGAGAGAAGAAAATCCAGTACCCTGTTATGAACATCTCATATCCAAGTGTGAACACAGGGTTTCTGAGCTGAAACGCTATTGGTCCACAGCACCACACAGTCTTACCTGTCTTACAGGTTCCTTGGAAAGAAAAAACAATGGCATTAATTAAATTACTTACTGCACTCATTACTTTTGATTCCACCAGAATGAAAGGAAAAAGCAAAATTACTATGAAACATTCTGTTCTACACACTGGGAGGCGTGAGCAAAGAAAAGTTTTCAGGTATTTCAAACCTCTGAGTTATTATTATTCTGCAAAAAAAAAATCATAAAATATACCCATTCATCTTACTAGATTTTATGGGTCGGTATAGCCTCTTTAAAATCTGAAGGCCTAAGAAATGTAAGGGTGCTGACTGATGAGCTGGGACAGCCTTACCTCAGGATAAGCTGAAAAGGTTGGCAGCTCCAGCTGTCTGCTCTGCTCCTGGTGTCCAGATGTCTAAGCTGCTTGTCAATCAGCTCCCAAAACACTGCAGTTTACAGGGCAGACTTTGCATTGCAGCCATCACTGGCGTTGGTTTGTCTTAAAATGCTTCATTGTAATCACTAGCTGAATTCTATGGATAATCCCACAGGATAGAAAGAGATACCTCTACCACCAGTCCCTACAAAGGCAGTCCCGAGTAGTCAGAGTCCCAGTGTACTTAGATTTATTCTATATCTGCCATTTTATTATTACAAAAATGCCCAAAGCACTAAAACATGCATTTAATTGCAATACAAACTTAAAGCATCCACAAGCTGCTTTTCCGTAGAAAATTGCCATCAGCACCTGGGATTGGAAGTTCTGTGGTATTAAGAATTGTGTCTCTCACATCCTCCTTTCCAGACCCTAACCACCTCTGCCAGCCTGCAGTGACAGTTTTGGAGCACCTGACCATCTTGCTGGCCTGGGACACAGGATGCTGTCACCCATGCCACTCTCTCTGTACCTCCTGTCCCTTTTTGTGAATGCAGCAGTGAACTGAACCAAGGAGTTTAAGTGTAAAGAAAGGTAAGTTTTGTCTCTTCTTCTCTGATGTGAGAAAATACCTTTGCTTCACCTTTCCCTTGGACTTCCTGGTATCTCTTGTCATGCTATTTTTTCCTTCTCTTCTGTCTGCTACTTCCTTCATCCAACATAGAGAAGTTACTGGACTCATTGTGAAAGGACATTGATTTTCAGAAGAAAAAATTGCTTCTTAGCTCTTCCCAGCAAAGTTTCTCAGATGTATTTTGAAGCTTATTTAGGCTTCTCTTTGTCTCCAGTGACCAGTGGTTAAATTATGCTCTGATAAAAGGAGAAATGAGCCAAAAGAAGGGACCTAAATTTAACTACAAGGGAAAGCAGGTGACGTAAGTTCTTGATATAAGTTCTCAAACAGCCACCTGGACCTGAGTAACTCCTTAAGTAATTCCCTGATATAGCAGTGGTAGGCTCTGCCTAGAGACAGTGTAATAAATTGCCAGAGCACGTTATTCCCTGAGGACCCAGCAGGAGAGCACACTGAAAGCTTCCTTGGAAAAATAAAAAAATTAAAAAAATAAAAAACCTACAGAAAAGCACAAAGGTTCAGCTGCTGTCCTTGTGCTTCTGTTTCCCCCAGCACAACATAGTCAGACCAGATGATTCAGAAACAGGAACTGACACCTTCTGCACCCTTTGTCACACGACTCCGAGATGTCAGCACAACTCTTCAGCCTGGCAAGGGCTTCCAGAGCCATCAAGCAAAAACTACTGCTCACTCCTGCGAAACAGAGGGGACATCCCCATCTGTCACCAGTGTGACTCCTCCGTTTAACTTTGGTTTGTGCATCCAGGGACAATCTGAGAGTGGCAGTGAGGTCCTGCAGGGGAGAGACCCCGGTTGGTTCTGGAAGGTCCAGGCCAGGAGGAGATAAAGTCTAAATTGTTAAGAGGTGGCTGCACCCTCCAGCATGGGACAAAGCTCCTGCCAAGGTTCAGGAGACAAGCCTTCTTCGGCTTGGTGCTGTATGTCAGAGAAGACAGTGACGATGCTGTGGGGCTGAGCTCAGCCATCCCCCAGCCCCTATGTCCGACGTGAAGCCGGAATGAGGCGGAGGGGGGTAGGAGGCCTCTGGGCCCCGCGGAGCCCCAGTTCACGCCTTGGTGCATGTGCGGAGTTGAAGAGGGGGTCAGGGGGTGAGGGAGAGTTCATCCCCGGGCTGAGCGATGGCCCTGCCCGCACGGGAGGGGGACGTCCCCGGCCCCCGAGAAGAGTCACTGGAGGTTCATCCCGCCGGGGAGGAATTCTTCCCAGCAGTAGCCGTCCTGCTGATGGATCGCCCCGCGCACGGGGCTGCGGCCTGCGCGCCCTCCCCTCCCGCAGCCGCGCTCCGGCCCCTCAGCCGCGGGCCGCCACCCACCATGGCCCTGAGGGGCGCCCGGGACGAACAGGAGCCCGAGAGGGAGCCGGGGGCGGCGTGGGGCGAGC